AATTACTTTCGCATAATATATATATATATATATATATATATATATATATATGATTTTATATTAAAAATTAACAATAACAAAATTAATTTAATATATTTATAACAAATGATATGTCTCTATTATTATTATTATTAAAATGTTCTTATTAATATTGTTATATTGTTTATTTATTTTATTTGTATATTATATATTTTATTTGTAATTATTTTTATTTGATTTTAATTAGTTTTGGATAATATATATATATTAAATAATATATATACAAATTTATATTAAACATTAATAATACTAATTCATATAATCAATACTAATTCAATAATTAATTCATTTTAAATATTTGTAAACAAAATAAATAATATATGTCTATTATATAAATTATTATTATTATATTGTTTATTTATTTTATTTTAAATAGCTTTGGAGTTATTATATTTGTTGTTATTTTTGTTTATCATTATATACATTTATATCATATATGATAATCAATATTTTTGTATAGTTTGTCATCTTGGATAGATTTTTCCCACTGAATGTGCTGCAATGCATGCTGCCTTATGGCTTCGCACCCTAATTCGTTCTCTCCTCCGCAGTGACGGCTGGGCGGACCGCTATGATGTCACTGATGGGTACGTGCGTGAGGCCGCCGGCGGGATCACCATAAAGCTGCAGTCCGCAGACGTCAAGTGGTTTGACGATTATTACCTGAAACTGCGTCCCGAAAACAACCCACGAAACCCCTGGTTCCCCGAGTTCTGGCAGCACCGCTTCCACTGCCGGCTGAAGGGACACCCGCAGGAGAACAACAAATACAACCGCACCTGCGGGAGTGAGTTTCCACAGCATTCCCACAAACCCCTGGCCTCATGTGCTCCCACAGTGACGTTTAGCATTTGAGAAGAAAAGAAATGCCAGTCCTGTCTCTCACAGACAAACACATGATTGCCTTCTTTCATCCAGACTTTCTCTTCAGATATCACACCTTCCATTAGTCTCGCTGTCTTTCATTGGCTCCATTTATCTGAGCTCTGCTTGAGTTCAAAGAAACTTTTTCAAATGTTCCCATTTAAAAAAAAAACAGTCGAAAAGAAAAGAACAACCACTTTTCCTCTGAAACGGGAATCAGAGCTGTTTGCATATAAACCAGCATGAGCAGACCGACAGAGAGCAACAGTTTGGACAGAGATGCTGTTTAATGGCAGTTCAAAATAATTTTTCAATCAGAGCCAGCACTTCTGAATGAAATCAAATTTGCTGTGAAAACAAGACGTTCAAGTGCAGTGCCTAAGAGCAGTTTCGTCTTCGTCCAGTATCGAAGTTCTAAAATTATGAGCAATAAAATACCATGGTACTCTTTTCATATTTTTCTACTCTTTGTGAAGTAGTTAGTTGTTTTTTTGTTTCTCTTCTCTCTTTCATTTCTTTAAATTTGCAAAACAGTTTTGAAAAAATAAGGCATGTGTAATTTGGTAAATATATTCTATATTATTAAAGGGGTCATAAGATGCTTTTTTAAAGATCATTATTTGGTGTATTTGGTGTAACAGAATATGTTGACATGCTTTAATGATAAAAAAACACATTATTTTTCAAATACTGTACATTATTGTAAGTCCTCTATGCCCCGCCTCTCTCAAACACTTAGTTTTCAACAAAGCCCCCTCCTCCAGCTGACCCAGTGCATTGTGATTGGCCGAACACCGCAAGCACTCGTCGGAAATGTAACGCTCCTTACCATAATCGCGAGCTTCAGCTTTCAAAATAAATGTAAAGACAGAGTCTCGTGACAGACACAGTGATGAAGCTGGTATGTGTTTGCAGTACACAAGCCACGGTTAAGACAGCTGACTCCACTTTGATGTGACGCTCTCTCTCTCTCTCTCTCTCTCGATCTCTCGCGCTCTCTCTCTCTCGATCTCTCTTGCTCTCTCTCTCTCTCTCTCTCGCTCGCTTGCTCGCTCACGCACACACACACACAATGCGCAAAACTCCGCATTTGAATAGCAAATACTTAAACTAATAACAAAACAGTAGCTGATTCAGAAGCGCCAGATTGTCATAGCAAAGTCAGAATTACCTCCTCTCCTAGGTTCACGAAACGGTCGTCCATAAAATGCATTGCTGTTCTGTTGTAAGTAATCTTAAAGATTCCTAAATGCATCTACTTTCGGAAGGCCAAATAAAGTGCTTTTGCTTTCGCCTAGAAACACACAGCGTCTCCCTGACATGCTGCTTCAACACTAACTGCGGTTACTGAAACCACGCCTTCTTTCTTTGCGTGAACATTTGGGCGGCATTATGCAAATATTTCCACATAGTGAGGTAGATATGTGGGGCGTGTTAGAACGAGCCGTTTTAGGGGGGCGTGGCAGAGTCTTAACTTTGATAAAGAATATCTCTTTGGTTTTGAGACTTTAGTCTTTGCAACTTCAGGGATCTTATCTATGCACAATCAGCTTGTAACACTCCAAAGAGAAAGGAAAACTTGAAATCGCATCATATGACCCCTTTAATATACCAGCTTGACTAACAACACCAAACTGTTGCGTCAAATCAGGTGCTTTAATGTTTCAAAGCAACTCATTTTCTCATCAAACAATTAGGAAAATATATTATGTATAATCTGAGTATTCATATTATAGTGATTTTATTATTGACATGCAAACACAACTAGAAGCACCAAAACTGACTGCAGAAATTGTTTGTTTTATGAATTTTCCTGGTGTTTTTGTCAGTACATAACAGAAAATATAAAAAGACTTCACTAAAAAAATTAAATCTACAATTGACTAACAATATATATATTTTTTAGTTTTATCTGTAAAAAGCAATTTATTATATTGACCTAAATTAAATAGTATTTTGGCTTTTGTCTAAAAAAGTATATGTTCTTTATAATAACTACTCTTTTTAATTTGTATGAATGTTTTTGTATTTGGGAAAATAAATATTAAATATTGAACCAAACCATAAATATAATTTGAAGGAAAAAAAAGAAGAAGAATACATTTAACAAATTAGTGTATTTTCTTAAAAGCTCCAAAGTATCATGTTTTTCAGTATATAATGCAGTTTATTTTAGTTTTTATTAATATTTTAAATGATCTTTTATTTTTACATTTCCTCTTTTAATGTTATAGTATTTTTGTTTTGTGTGTGATTTTTCGTCAGTGTCTATACATTTGTGCTCAGTTTTAGTTAATTTATTTATCAGGTCGTTAAACTAAATGAACACGAGAAATTATATATATATATATATATATATATATATATATATATAACTTCAAGTAATAAAATCGGATGTTATTTCAGATTCTATTCGCTTTCTCTGATTCCAAACCCTCTACACTGATTTGCTCTCGCCCCTTAAACTCACGCTCAGTTTTTCGTTTCTGTCAAGCTTTTACGGCCTCAAATTCGCCTTTTAACACTAGCGAACAATCTGACTTCTCCATAGAGGAGTTAGTGTTTTTAACAGCTCCTGTAGAGATATTTTAAATTCTGTAGCTCCAACTAGAGTTAGAAAGCAGAAACCTTATTCTTTACCATGGTTAAATGAAGAATTAAGAATCTTAAAGAAACTATGCAGGAGGGCAGAACGAAGGTGGAAAAAGGATAAACTTAGTGTTTCCCTTGCCTCTTTAAAAAATCTGAGGAAGCAAGGAACACTTTTTTTCAGATCTGGTTACTAAACAGGGACATAATCCAAGAATACTTTTTAAAACCATTAGTTCTATTTTAGGTCCTCAGCCTATAGACAGCCGGTTGACTCTACTCCAGAGAATTGTGACGTTTTTAAAAAATGTATATTTTATAACAAAATAGTGGAGGTTAGGCAGCAGTTTAACACTGATTTCAGAGATCATGTTGATTCTTGTCCACCTTCAACATTAACCCATTTTAATGAAATCTCTTTGTCTACCTTGGAACGTATTGTTGTACTTTCAAAATCATCCTCGTGTTCTTCTGACTGCATTCCTGCTTGGTTTTTAAAAGCTGTATTTCACACGGTTTGTCCAGATATTTTGGCTATTAATTGTTCTTTGTCTATCCGATATTAAAGAAGGCCTCTCTAGACCCTTCAAATTTGAGTAATTTTAGACCTATTTCTAAGTTGCCATTTTTATCAAAGACTTTAGAAAAAGTTGTGTCCATGCAACTGACTTCTTTTATGAATAATAATTTAATCTTTGAAAAATTTCAGTCTAGTTTCCGCTCCCAACATACCACTGAAACTGCTCTGGCTAAGCTCACCAATGACCCATTGCTTGCAGCCAATGCTGGCTTGTATTGTAATTTTAATTCTTCTTGATCTCAGTTCAGCCTTTGACACAGTGGACCACAATGTCTTGATCAACCATCTAAAGCCTTATGTTGGTATCAGATATGCTGCTCTGGATTGGTTTATTTCATATTTGTCGAGCAGGTCCTTTTCGTACTCCTTTGTTTTGTGGGGTCCCTCATGGTTCTATTTTGGGTCCCCTTATGTTTACGTCTACATGCTACCCCTGGGTCAAATTATGCATAGTTATGACATTGAGTTCCACTGCTATGCAGACGTATGTCCCGATGAAGCCTGGCATTATTGATATATCCCATATTATGTCCTGCTTCATAGAGATCAAAAATTGGATGTTGAGAAATGTTCTGCAGTTGAACGATTCCAAGTCAGAGGTGCTTATAATTACCCTGTGTGGCCCCAGTAGTGCTATAATTAATAATCTCTCCTCTAGCCTGGATGCCTTATCTAATAATGTTCAAAATGAGGTCCGCAACTTAGGTGTAATTTTTGATTTAGAACTGTCATTTGATGCTCAGGTGACTAAAGTGTTGTAGTCTTGTTTTGCACAACTGAGGCAACTAACGAAGATAAAGTCATTTCTTTCTTTTGCAGATTTAGAAAAGGTCATTCATGCTTTTATCTCCTCCAGACTTGATTATTGTAACGCACTTTATTCTGGTATTAGCAGGCAAAATCTCCAAAGATTGCAGCTGATTCAAAATGCTTCTGCTAGCCTTTTAACACATACTAAAAGAAAAGTGATCACAGTACACCGATTCTTGCTGTTCTTCACTGGTTGCCTGTGAGTTATAGAATTGATTTTAGGATTTTGCTGCTTGTTTTTAAAGCCTTGAAGGGTCAGGCTCCTGCCTATATTTGTGATTTATTAACTCCTTATGAGCCTGAACGCTGCTTGCGATCCTCTGGTAGAGCCCTATTAATGGCTCAAAATCAGTTTCACAGAGCATAAGCAAATTAGCACAGTTCATTATTGACCTGCCTACGGGATACGAGCAGGAACAGACGAGTGATCTGTCATTAACCCCGATCTCCTCCTCTCTCAGAGCGGGATTCTCTGCGGCAGCAATATGCGCAGGACACCAAGATGGGCTTTGTGATCAATGCCATCTACAGCATGGCCTATGGCCTCCACAACATGCAGAAAGCGCTGTGTCCCGGTATGGTGGGTCTGTGTGATGCCATGCGGCCCATCGATGGGTCAAAGCTCCTCGAGTTCCTCGTGAAGACCAACTTCACTGGAGTGTCCGGGGAAAACATTTATTTTGACGAGAACGGAGATTCGCCTGGGAGGTACCAGACCAATCCAATCCAATAAATAAGATAATCAATCTGTCAGTCAATCAAACAGTCACATAGTCAATGAATAGATCAATGCATCAGTCAGACTGATGAATCCACCCTTCATTTCCATTCTTCTTAATTTCTGTGCACTAAATCAATACTCCTAACTGTGTTCGTAGTTACGTGATCATGAACTTTAAGAAGATGGGCAAAGATTATTTCGACTACACGAACGTGGGCAGCTGGGACAACAGCGGACTGCAGATCAGTGACGACGAGATCTGGCCCACCAAAGATGAGATTATTAAATCCGTGTGCAGCGAACCCTGCGATAAAGGTCAAATCAAGGTCAGGAGACCGTGAGCTGCTTATTAAGCCTCATAGTGCTTCGTAATGTTTAATAATGCCCAATAATTGTGTGTTTTTGTTGGTAAATGTATTGGAGTAACAAGAAAAATCCAACTGGATTCAACTGGTTTTGCTTCAGGACACATTTTACACTGAAAATCAAGTGGTGATTGCACAGGCCAAACAATATGTACAATTATTATTAGTTTTATAGAATTGTAATTAGTATTAGCAAAATTATTCATTTCATGCTTTCGGTATCCAGTAATTCACTGCACAAAATGCAGTTATTTTAAAAATACTATTTGTTATTTATTTAATTAATATTTTTTATTTACTCAAATAATTATATTATTAACAATATTATTTACAATATACATATAAGATGAAAAATATTTTTAAAGAGAATAAACATTCTAAAAGTAATTATAATATTTATATTTCAATTTGTCATTTAATATAATTTAATATTTACTATAAAAACAGAATATTATAAGTATTATATTCTAAATTATATATTTAAAATATTATAAGGAAATCATTTTTACAGATTTTTGTAGTAAATATTTTATACACAATTTATCCACTTTTCCGTGACCTGGAATATCACAAATGTAAAGCATAAATTGACCTATCATCTGGTGAATCATAGGCGAAACCTATTAATAAAAATAAGTTAATAAAATTAAGCTTAAACATGCTATTAAAGTAAATCTAATGTTTATATTTGCTATATAAATGTTTATTTATTTTCTAAAATATTTAATATTTTAATTAATATTATGCAATATAATTTATATATTTTAGAAAAAAAACTTTTTAGTAAATAAACATATAAAAGTTTAGATTATCTGAAATATTATAATTAGAATATTATAAATTATATATTTCAAATATTATAAGAATTTTTTTAAACAATTTTTTTACAGTTAAGCATTTTATACACAATTTATCTAGTTTTACATGACCTGAAATATCACAACTGTAAAGTATGAATTGACTTACGGAATCATAAAATGGCTATCCTAAATTTACTATTTACATAGTTTTTTTTCCTGACTGTGTCACGACCCTGCAGTTGAGAAGCGCTGTTTTCCGTCCTGGTGTGATCATGACGGCACGTCACACGCACTATCCTCTCTTGCCCGCAGGTGATCCGTAAAGGAGAGGTCAGCTGCTGTTGGACATGCACTCCCTGTAAAGAGAACGAGTTTGTTTTTGACGAGTACACATGTCGTGCATGTGAGCTGGGATCCTGGCCCACCAACGACCTCACCGGTGAGTCCACAAACACATCAGCTCAGACTGATGACCCCGAGTCTCCTGCACTCACCGCCCGTGCCTGTGTTACACCGCGGGTTCAGTGACATGCTTTATCCCTCTCTATTCACATCCAGGCTAGGAAATCTCATTCTGTAAAGTGCCACACGCGATACTCAAATACAAATCTAGCATTTCACGGAGAGTCGTTTGGGATCCCAAACCACGACCAAAACGACTTATTTGCATAATGCGTGATTGCATCTCTCTTACATGGCCATTAATAGAAAGAGATATTTGTGCTGTAGAAAGCAAATGCATTTCAGTAAATAATTTCAGGGAAATGCGAATACACACACTCATTGAGCTAAAAGGTTAACAGCATCAAAACCGTCTGAGCTGAACTTATCAAATCTGTCTCCCTGTGATCGGCCCCCACACTTTATTACCACCTATTTATACCATCAGAGAGAAAGAATGAATCATACAGCCAATATTACCAAGTACTCTACATTATTACACTTTTTTAATGAATATGTGTTTGCCAATGCAATACTCGCCTCCATGATATTAATTAGGCTTTGTGGGTTGCATTGCTATATGGTTGCTTAGATGTACAATGTAATATAATTTATGTGATTATATTGATAATATTTTAGAAAATAAAAAGTATATTAAACATTTCTTGGTAAATATAAATATTCTATTTACTCATATAGTATATGTTTATTAACTATAAAACATAAAATGTGTGTTTTCTATAATAATTAATCCACTAGAAAATGCTTCTTTTAAGTGCATTCTCTATTAAATGATTTTTAAAAATCCTTATCCAGTAATCAGGTATAGTATTATAAATTAGATTTTATTGTATCATATAAATTAATAGATTAGATATTTTTTTAATTTTATAGTAAATTTAAATGATTTTTCCTTTTATAGCATATTTACTTAGTGTAAAAATAGTTAAATATTTAGTTTTCTTTATTTATAGTCTCTATTATACAGTATTATATAAAATTAGATCTTTTAACATAATTTTTTATAGTAAATATTTATATAGTTAATATAAATACATAATTTAATTTTATAGTATGTTTATTTACTATAAAGTCAACTATTTTTTGTTTTCCAAAATATTTAGAAATGATTTAAAATCCTTATCCATATAATAAATATAAATTATATAATATTTTATTATATAAAGGATGTGATATTTTAGAAAATATAAATATTTTATATATTTAAGTAAATATTTATATAGTAAATAGAAATGTTGTTTCATTTTATAGTGTTTATTTACTATAAATACAGTTAAACCATTTGCTTTTAAATGCAATTTCTATAAAATTATTTTTGAAATAGATTTTTAAATATCCTTATGCAATAATCAAGTATAATACTATAAATTATATTGTCATATTATTTAAATTAAAGAATGACATATTTTATTTTTTATATTGTACAGGTGCATCGCAATAAATTAGAATGTCATGGAAAAGTTCATTTATTTCAGTAATTCAACTCAAATTGTGAAACTCGTGTATTAAATAAATTCAATGCACACAGACTGAAGTAGTTTAAGTCTTTGGTTCTTTTAATTGTGATGATTTGGGCTCACATTTAACAAAATCCCTCTCAACAAATTAGAATATGGTGACATGCCAATCAGCTAATCAACACAAAACACCTGCAAAGGTTTCCTGAGCCTTCAAAATGGTCTCTCAGTTTGGTTCACTAAGCTACACAATCATGGGGAAGACTGCTGATCAGACAGTTGTCCAGAAGACAATCATTGACACCCTTCACAAGGGTGATCCGTAAAGGAGAGGTCAGCTGCTGTTGGACATGCACTCCCTGTAAAGAGAACGAGTTTGTTTTTGACGAGTACACATGTCGTGCATGTGAGCTGGGATCCTGGCCCACCAACGACCTCACCGGTGAGTCCACAAACACATCAGCTCAGACTGATGACCCCGAGTCTCCTGCACTCACCGCCCGTGCCTGTGTTACACCGCGGGTTCAGTGACATGCTTTATCCCTCTCTATTCACATCCAGGCTAGGAAATCTCATTCTGTAAAGTGCCACACGCGATACTCAAATACAAATCTAGCATTTCACGGAGAGTCGTTTGGGATCCCAAACCATGACCAAAACGACTTATTTGCATAATGCGTGATTGCATCTCTCTTACATGGCCATTAATAGAAAGAGATATTTGTGCTGTAGAAAGCAAATGCATTTCAGTAAATAATTTCAGGGAAATGCGAATACACACACTCATTGAGCTAAAAGGTTAACAGCATCAAAACCGTCTGAGCTGAACTTATCAAATCTGTCTCCCTGTGATCGGCCCCCACACTTTATTACCACCTATTTATACCATCAGAGAGAAAGAATGAATCATACAGCCAATATTACCAAGTACTCTACATTATTACACTTTTTTAATGAATATGTGTTTGCCAATGCAATACTCGCCTCCATGATATTAATTAGGCTTTGTGGGTTGCATTGCTATATGGTTGCTTAGATGTACAATGTAATATAATTTATGTGATTATATTGATAATATTTTAGAAAATAAAAAGTATATTAAACATTTCTTGGTAAATATAAATATTCTATTTACTCATATAGTATATGTTTATTAACTATAAAACATAAAATGTGTGTTTTCTATAATAATTAATCCACTAGAAAATGCTTCTTTTAAGTGCATTCTCTATTAAATGATTTTTAAAAATCCTTATCCAGTAATCAGGTATAGTATTATAAATTAGATTTTATTGTATCATATAAATTAATAGATTAGATATTTTTTTAATTTTATAGTAAATTTAAATGATTTTTCCTTTTATAGCATATTTACTTAGTGTAAAAATAGTTAAATATTTAGTTTTCTTTATTTATAGTCTCTATTATACAGTATTATATAAAATTAGATCTTTTAACATAATTTTTTTATAGTAAATATTTATATAGTTAATATAAATACATAATTTAATTTTATAGTATGTTTATTTACTATAAAGTCAACTATTTTTTGTTTTCCAAAATATTTAGAAATGATTTAAAATCCTTATCCATATAATAAATATAAATTATATAATATTTTATTATATAAAGGATGTGATATTTTAGAAAATATAAATATTTTATATATTTAAGTAAATATTTATATAGTAAATAGAAATGTTGTTTCATTTTATAGTGTTTATTTACTATAAATACAGTTAAACCATTTGCTTTTAAATGCAATTTCTATAAAATTATTTTTGAAATAGATTTTTAAATATCCTTATGCAATAATCAAGTATAATACTATAAATTATATTGTCATATTATTTAAATTAAAGAATGACATATTTTATTTTTTATATTGTACAGGTGCATCGCAATAAATTAGAATGTCATGGAAAAGTTCATTTATTTCAGTAATTCAACTCAAATTGTGAAACTCGTGTATTAAATAAATTCAATGCACACAGACTGAAGTAGTTTAAGTCTTTGGTTCTTTTAATTGTGATGATTTTGGCTCACATTTAACAAAAACCCACCAATTCACGATCTCAACAAATTAGAATACTGGCCGGCAGCAAAAAGAAGATCTGCACCAAGAAGCCTCGTTTCATGAGCGCCTGCGCCCAGCTGGTGATCGCCTTCCTACTGATCCTCCTGCAGCTGGGCATCATCGTGGCGCTCTTTGTGATGGAGCCTCCCGACGTCATCCACGACTATCCCTCCATCCGCGAGGTCAACCTCATCTGCTACACCACCAACTTAGGTGTGGTGGCGCCGCTGGGCTACAATAGCCTCCTCATCATGAGCTGCACCTTCTACGCCTTCAAGACGCGCAACGTTCCCGCCAATTTTAACGAAGCGAAGTATATCGCCTTCACCATGTACACCACCTGCATCATCTGGCTGGCCTTTGTGCCCATTTACTTCGGCTCCAACTACAAGACCATCACCATGTGCTTCTCCGTCAGCCTGAGCGCCACCGTGGCTCTGGGCTGCATGTTCGTGCCAAAGGTTTACATTATCCTGGCCAAACCAGAGAGGAATTTCCGCAGTGCGTTCACTACATCGACAGTGGTGCGCATGCATGTGGGAGACGGAAAATCATCATCCGCGGCCAGCCGGTCGAGCAGCCTGATTCAGTCTGTGTGCATTGAATTTATTTAATACACAAATTTCACAATTTGAGTAGAATTACTGAAATAAATGAACTTTTTCACGACGTTCTAATTCATTGAGATGCACCTGTATATACTGTATATTATAAATATAAATATTTATATTGTAAATAATATATTTAGAAATGTTAATGTATGTTTATTTTAAAAAAAAGTTAAATATTTTTCTTCTAAAATACTTAACTAGAAGAGTGAGTGATGTGAGTGAGTGAGTGACGTGTGGCCAGGTACGGTGTCCCATACTTGGAATTTGTGCTCTGCATTTCAACCATGCAAGTGCACACAGCAGTGAGTAGTGAACATACACACACGGATCGTCAGGAGAGACTCTCAGGTGTGTGCAGCGATAACTTTCAAAAGGTACTATTTAGGTACTAATATGTACCTTTAAAGGCATAGTTCACATAGTTCACACCAAAAATCTGTCAGTAATTACTCACCCTCATGTCGTCTCAAAGACCTTCGTTTATCTTTGAAACACTTGTTAAGATATTTTTGATGAAATCCAAGAGCTTTCTGAGTCTCCCTAGATAGCAATGCAACTGACATGTTCAAGGCCCAGAAGGACATCGTTAAAATAGTCCATGTGTCATCAGCGGTTCAACTAGGGGTGGGTGATATACTGGTAGACACAATTAACCAGTAGAAATTTGTTAACTGGTAGAGATTTTGGACTATCGTCTCTAATGCGTTTACGCGGCTACAAGGTCACATGGCATTGCTGTGCTACTTGGTCACGAAAACGCATTGTGTGCACGTGATTTTAAGCCACTGAAATGCAATCAGCCGTTTATATGCGCGTGCTGTCTGAGAGACTTTCTGAGCGCTATCAGATGCGCGCGCACATGAAGACAGTGCTCATAGAGTGCAGGAGTATTGAACGGAGTTATCTTTGCCGCTTCATAGGCCTTGAATGGTTAAATACACACACTTGTATGAGTCAAAATGCCCATCTCTGCAAGTATCCTTGTAAACAGTAATTTAGGTCTTAAGTGAAAGCAAAAGGCTGAGAAAGAAAACACTTGTGTAACAGTATATTGGATCCAAGCAGCTCTTAAAGTGACAGCAGTCGAATATTCCTGTTTTCTGTCATTCAGGTTAATCAAACAAAAAAAGACAGAAAATCTACTCTTGACTAAATCACTTTTGTAACTTTAATAAGAAGAAATATATATTTAATTTACACTGTGAAGAATATGCAGTGTTTTTTGTCCTATTGTAATTAGTTTCTTAATTTTTTTTTAATCGCTGACTTTACTTGTCTTCAGTGAGCTTGAGTTAGTTTTTTGTTTTTTTAATTTAGGCTAGTATTAGTTTTTTTTGTGATATTTACACTGATGACAAGAAATATGAATTATGCAGTTTGTTTACGAGCAGAGCAATGCACACGCATGCGCTGTGGTACTCTTGTGAATGCACATCGAAGTCTGGCATGGAAGAGAAGAAATAAAAAAAAAAGTTAAATATTTTTATTCTAAAATACTTAACTAGAAGAGTGAGTGATGTGAGTGAGTGAGTGACGTGTGGCCAGGTACGGTGTCCCATACTTGGAATTTGTGCTCTGCATTTCAACCATGCAAGTGCACACAGCAGTGAGTAGTGAACATACACACACCCGGAACAGTTTTTTAAGTTCGATGCTCTTTTTATGAAATTATTTCTAAAAATCCTTATCCAATAATCAGAAGGATTTGCAAGAAGCACCACTAATTTTCATTTTCTTCATTTGTTTCAGGATGTGACCCCATCCCAGTGAAGTATTTGAGGTGGGGTGACCCTGAGCCCATCGCGGCTGTGGTCTTCGCCTGCTTGGGCCTGATGGCCACGTTCTTCGTCACCTCCATCTTCATTATCTACCGCGACACTCCGGTGGTGAAGTCGTCCAGTCGTGAGCTGTGCTACATTATACTGAGAGTGTTTACCTTAGGCGACCTGTGATTATAGGAATGAATGTATTTAGTGTGTCTGCTCACACTGCCTGTTTACCACGTAATCTCTGTTTGCATATACTACATAACCCATAGATAGACAGACAGATTCATAGAGACACAGAACTGTACATATTTATATAGTAATTTGACTGTTGTACGCTAAAATTAAAGAATTATTATATTTTTCTTACATGCTTGTTTTTATTTTAAGGAAATATTACATAAATATTACATACTTTTTTTAAAAATTAACTTTCAAAACATTACACAATGGTAACAGACACACACTGCCTGATATACAAAGGGAATACAAAAGCAAAATTATACATAAGATGACAAACATAGAGCACCGTATCACAGATCGAATTGAAAAATTGAATCAATAAAAAACCTAGGGAGAATATTGTTAACTATTTTTATAATAATAAAAATAGTTATTAATATTACTACTATTATTACTACTATCATCATTATTTTTTTTTGCCAAATTATGTAACTCCACAATGGAGCACAGAAGACAATTTTTTTAAACATTTTAAACCCCAATGTCAGTTTTTATGAGAAAAAAATAAATTTTATTAATATATTAATTTGTTTTGCAACCATTGTTACTGTAAATATTATTTAATGCTGTTGCAGCTCTAATGGGAAGTCAGTGACGTGGGCCCAGAATGAGTGCAGTTCCAAAGGCGGCCACCTGTGGCAGCGTCTCTCCTTCCACATTAAGAAGCGCGAAAGTAACCAGACGGCCGTGATCAAACCTTTCTCCAAAACGTCTGAGGGACGCTATTGCGGAGGCAGCGACATCAACATGGACAACAGCAACAACAAGATGCTCTATGAGGTCACCGAAGCGGAGGAGCGCTACCCCATCACCTACCGGCCCCAAACACCCTCACCGATCAGCACCGTGACCCAGAGAGCGAGCATTGCATTATCACAGAGCACTAGCGCTGCTGACTCCCAGGTCATGAGCGTGTCCACATACATGTGTCAGGCTCCGCATCACGGTAACGGCGGTGGAAGTGCATCGCAGGGCTCTCTAATGGAGCAGATTAGCTGCGTGGTTAACCGCTTCACAGCTAACATCAGCGAGCTCAACAGCATGATGCTCTCCAATTCTCCTCCAGGAGGCGCTGTGGGTTTGTCCACCAGTGCATCCACACACGCTCACTCTGTCGAGCCCTGCTGTCCTCCGGCCTACCGCCTATCCCGAGAAATTTCAATGCCGACTACCGTGACCACCTATGCCGAAATCCAGCCCCTCCCACCGGTGGAGTCTAATGTGGGTCACTCTGCCCCTCCCTGCCCACTTTCCAGTTCATCGCGACTCAAAACTTCGCCCACGACCAGTGGGAAGGAGATAAAGGTGGGCGTGTCCTCAGCTCTGGAGTCGCCGCCCAATCAGCAGGAGCTTGAGGAACTGCTAGCGCTGACTCCGCCCTCCCCATTCAGGGACTCCGTTGGGTCGGGTAGCGGCTCGCCGAGTTCTCCCGCTTCAGATACCGAAACGTCTGCTCTTCCGCCCATCCCAAAATACGAGTGCCTGGTGCTCCGACACTACAGCCAGAGTTCGTCTTCGTTATGAGGACAACAGATGGAAGAATGGAGTGCTGAATGGCGTAATTCACGTAGGTCGGAGACGGACACTGCTTTAGTGTGTGTGTTTACATGTTCTCACCTTTGGACCAATGCAAAACAGGGTGTTGCCGTCCCTGCGGAGGAATATCTCCAACATCAGACCTGCAGTAGAATCACAACGATGTCTAATCGTTCGTCTAGTTGGCGTTCCGTTGGTCTATTTTGGTAGTGGCCTTAAACAAACATGGCTTTCATCTAATTAGTGCTGTTTCTATGAGGACTACAATATGTTGTTGTGCCCCCAGCAGGACGGGGGTGGACGGACACCCAACCTGGGACGTTCTCATACACGGACATTACGAGCCTTTTTTGCTACGTTCAGCATCAAACAATGAGATTATTAAGGGCTGGAAAAAGGCACAGCAGCAAAGGGAAAAGCCTGTATAATTACATGTTGCGTAATCTTTAACTCACACACTCGTACGCGACTGCTGGTGCGCTGTAATAATTGAAGAGCAGGAGGTGACGTCCCCGATGCTTTCCGAGATTCAAACGCAATCTTTGAACAAAGTGCTTTGTTTGATGTACCGCAGGACAGCGTGAGAGAGCAAACAGACCGATACTCAGACACCTCAGTCATCGTCCATAATTTTCTCTTCTCCTTTTTCTCTCTCTTTTCTCCTTATTCTTCCAGTATTCGGCCTTTTTCAGGAACAGAATATATGGGTGAATCTCATGAAACCTGTTGAGATTATATTTCAAGTAGTCCATTCATTCATTAATTCTATAATAAATAAATTGCATATAGAAAACTAAATTTATTTTTTTATTTACTTTAATCATTTTTTTCAATAATTCATAATTTATTATTTTAGTATTGGGTCATTGTTTAAAAATAAATGAAAACAACTGCAATGGTCTTAAAATACGCTTAACATCCTGTTGGTAAAATATTTATTTATTTATTTTAAATGGTGTTATTTATTTATTATAGCAAACATATTAGATTTATAAAATTTAATAGATTTGTAAAAAAAAATTGAGAGATTTATTTAAAATGGTTAATTCATTAAACAAATTTTTTATTTAAATTTTTTATTTATTCAATTTATTCATTTATTTATAAAAATGCATACATTCATTCGCTCACTCAATAATTTCAATTTATTATTATTATTTTATTTTTGTTTATTTATTTATTTATTTTTTGGGGGGATATAACCTGAACACGACTTCATGAGATTCATCTGTATGTTTTTTATAATAATTATTATATATTTTTTTTTGGTAGATTTAATTGTGGGACCAAATTCATTGCCAAATCATTGTGGTATCATGATACGGTGGTAATATCAGATGGTAATACCACGGCACTCCAAGGTACTTTTAAGAATACCATAGTACTTACACATATCACCCCTAATAAACTAGTTCACAGTGGTTCATCAGTGAGCTGAATCAAATCACAGCACTCAGTGAACAACATTTTGGTCCGGTCCTAAAGTCAAAATGGAACAAAAGTGCACCCTGCTTACTTCCTTAATACACATTCCTGGTGTTATTTTAAACAATTAATCTGTGCACATTATTCCAAAGAAAAATACCTTGCTCCACCTCTGAAATTATGTACAAATTGTCATATTACAGACGTATAATGGGCTGCAAATGATGTTTCATGTTGACTTTAAATTATACTTTTTCTCTAGCAGAAGGGCTTTTTATGTAATCTTAAATATGTTTCTATCTATCCTTCTATCTATCATATCACTCTATCGTTCTATCTATTAAGTTTTGAATCATAAAGAATGAGTTATGAGTTCACCATGAAGCCATTCTAGTCATTTTGATTGATCGTTCCTATCGATTGTGTAAATATCAAGGGCATGCGCATAGCAACAAGTCTAGTAAAGTTTTAACAGTGACTTATTGTCGAACCTGAACAGTAGCAGTAATTTTACCCAGATTACATGAGGACGGAATAACAGAAGATTTCGAGTCTGAAGATGTCTTTTCTTACCATTCCCTTGTGTACAGAACATGCTTAGATGAATGTGAGGCTACTCAAGTGTCTAGCAATTATATGAAAAACAAAAAAGTGAAATTTACTAGTAATATTGATCTTAATAGAGCTTTTAGTGCCAAAGTGGGGAGGGGAGGGGATGGGCCGAAATGTGTGTTTTTCGTAACATAATGATATGAATCGTTTTTATGGTGAGTATTTTTATAAATATATATTATAAATGTACCAGACTTTGGGACTCAAAGCAATACAAACCATACGCATATACAAAGCACATCAGCTTTATACAATATTTGTGCTACATCAAGTTTTCTAATCATTTTGAAACTTCTTTCTGTGAATGAGAACTCTTCCTCCGTCTCTGACGTCATATTTCGGGGATTCAGGCCGCATCTACACCAAAAATGCATCAAAACTAGATCACTCACAGTAAAATCAGTACTTCTGTCTACACTGAAATCTGCACATCTGCTTCAGACACGTTATAATCCCCAATCACCTGAAATACCATTTTATTTCAAAATGTTTTGCTTTTGAATTAACACTGTTTTATGAATTTTATTTGTTATATATTTAAATAAGTACCGAGAGTTACATAAAAGCCAGCTAACTATATGTTGTAGCAATACTAATGTACGCATATATATATATATATATATATATATATAAGTATATAACATAATAAGTATATGATGGTAAATCATGATGGTCACTTGTACACAGTCTCCTAACCAGGCACAACATGATAAAGCATGAAAGCTTATGTTCGCCACAACAAAATAAATAAATTAATAAATAAAATGTAATTGTGATTTTTTTTATCTCACAATTCTGATTTTTCTCACAATTCTGAGTTTATATCTCACATTACTGAATTTTTTTGCAATTCTGAGAAAAAAAAATGTATTGCGTGATATAATCTCAGAATTGTGAGATAAAGACAAACACACAATTCTAATAAAAAAAAGACAGAATTCTCTGTGGTGGATACTCAGAACTCAACCAAAAAATACTGAATTGCGAGATGCAAACTCAGAATTCTGATGATAAAAGTCCGAATTGGGAGATGTGAATTCAGAATTCCAAGAAAAAAGTCAGAATTGTGAGATGTAAACTCAGAATTCTGATGATAAAAGTCAGAATTGGGAGATGTAAATTCAGAATTCTGATGATAAAAGTCCGAATTGGGAGATGTAAATTCAGAATTCCGAGAAAAAAGTCAGAATTGTGAGATGTAAACTCAGAATTCCGAGAAAAAATAGTCAGAATTGCGAGATGTAAATTCAGCATTCCGACAAAAAAAATCCATTGCGAGATGTAAACTCAGAATTCCGAGCAAAAAATTAGAATTGAGAGATTTAAACTTAGAATACTAGGAAAAAAGAATTGCGAGATGTAGACTCGGAATTCCGACAAAAAAAGTTAGAATTGCGAGATTTAAATTAAGAATTCAGATAAAAAATGTCAAAATTGCGAGATGTAAATTTAGAATTCCAAGAAAAAAGTCAGAATTGCGAGATTTAAATTTAGAATTCCAAGAAAAAAGTCAGAATTGCGAGATGTAACTCGAAATTCCAAGAAAAAATGTCAGAATTGCGAGATGTAAATTTAGAATTCCAAGAAAAAAGTCAGAATTGCGAGATGTAACTCGGAATTCCAAGAAAAAAGTCAGAATTGCGAGATTTAAATTTAAGAATTCCGACAAAAAATGTCAGAATTGCGAGATGTAAATTTAGAATTCCAAGAAAAAAGTCAGAATTGCAAGATTTAAATGAAGAATTCCAACAAAAAAATGTCAGAATTGCGAGATGTAAATTTAGAATTCCAAGAAAAAAGTCAGAATTGAGAGAGTTAAACTTCAGAATTTTAAGACAGAAAATCACAATACCTTTTTCATTTTTATTTAGGGGTGGAAAAAGTAATAAAATGATCTCTTCAGGTAAGTCTGACTTTCTATTTCTGCTGTGTTACGGCATCTCCAAAAATTCTTCTATGCATAGGCCTAACTGTATATTAGGTATCAAATACCTTCTGTGATTATGCAGCAGAAAAATTGTTTGTTGTTGGAAACTTGTCGCGTTGTGCCTGGTTACGACCGTGTTAGCTGAACAGACTGCTGATGTAATCTAACAGAGAAAGTGCAATTGTGTTTTTTATTTATCGTTCTATTTATCGAATCATTAAGTTTAAAGGAATGCGGTTTTAAAATCTCGTCACACCGCCATCTTACTAAATGACTATTTCCTTCGAGAAAATACTGTGGTCAGCGTTATTCATCCTTTCTCTTTGGTTTACTTTTCTAACATTTATCAGGGTGGTATATTGAATCATAAATCTGTGTAATATCCCAGATGATCTATAACGTGCGTGTCATTTGGTAATAGGTTTAGTGTTTTTGCTACAGGTACACAGGAACAGCTGGAAAGATTATTCAGATTTATTGCGGTACATTAGGAAGCGGTTTGTCAGGAAAGGCTTAAATTTCATTCCGCGAGATCAAAAACATGATGCTTGAAAGACCCTGTGAAATATTAATAAATCTGCCCCTGGAAGGCGATCTCTCCTTTTCTGTTTGCGAGTTTCTCTTCATTAAGTGGATTTATGAACATGACAGATACATTTGGTGCATTTGTAGGAGCTCTGGGTTGAATGTGAATGTTGCTGCCTATAGTAGACTCACATTGATGTTTACATTTTGCTACATTATCATGCTTGCTGGAGTACATGGGATCTTTCATCAGTGGTGAAATGCAATCATTTAGCGTTCGGGCTACAGAACGTGGTCGCTCTGAATGTGTCGCACAGGTTCGTGACCGAAGGACGAAACCGACTCTGTGACTCCATCTCAAGTGCTAACATCATTCTGTGTATGATTCTTTACTCTCAAGTGATCGGTTCTATTTTTGTTATATCTATATCTATATATTGGGACTTGTGTTTGCTGATTCTCTGATGTAGAGATTCTGTAGGATGTTGATCATCATTGACGTGGTACTGCAGATGACTTTTGGTGACATTTGTTGATATTCCAGTTTCTTGCAGCTTTTTGGGGGGAAAAAAAATGTGAGAAAATGCTTACGGCTGTATTAAAACATTTTCCCTTTTTCTTGACATGGAAACCGTTGTGGTGTGGTATGAAATCTTTCCAATCATTATTAAAAACATGGAATTAATCCCCCCGTCTCTGAGAATTAATGACTTTGTTGAAACAACAACTTTTCCTTTTCAACTTTTGTGAAATTTGTGCTGAAATCTGATTGGAGGAAGTGATATTTTAGTATCACTAATAGCTATAACATTTTATATATACAGTATATATATACACATACACAGTAAAATATATTTACATTTTTGTTAAAGTTTTAGTAATGTTGTGCATTTTTGCAATTTTAATTAAATTTTATTTTCATTCTTTCTTTAAATGTCTATGTAGTTAGTTTCCATTTGTAACAAAGGTTCAGAAAAATATATTGCTCATTATTAGTTCATGTTAGTTAATGCATTAATGTTAACAAATTACCTTATTGTAAAGAGTTACCTTTTTTTTAAATTAATTTTTAATTTCAGTTTTTGTTATTTTAGTAGTTCAAGTTAAACTAAACAAAAATGA